CCCTTTATCAGATGCGCTTTTTTCAAATCTATACTTGTCTGAAGACACCAACTTGGTTAATTTGCATCTTTATGTACTTTTTTAGTTTTTACCTGTAAAACACCCTCCTGGACCACTGGGAATTGTATATACAGTCAAGATTCCTATAGTGCGGATTCGTTCTTGCCGGATTCCTATAGTACGGTCGATCCAGCATTAACGAATACACGTAGCATATGGGATTAGAGCTAATTGGGACCAAACATTGATTGTACGGCATAACTTCCTGATGTCTTCTGAGAAGTTGTTAAGCAGAAAATTGGCCACCTTTTGGGATGATACAGTCTCCGGTAGGACACAATTCTGATCCTGTGGAAGATCCGGAACATCCGTAAAAGTGGTCAATTCAGGAAACTGATCCTAGAGTTCCGCGGATTTTTCGAAACCACTCATAAACGTCTTATCAGAATGAATTGTGACCGGAATATAAAGGGTGATACGGTCAAAATTTGGTCAAGGGAAAACGCGTGTAAATCGGTGAAATCGTTTATTTAAAAAATCAAATTAAATTTCTTTTTCAAGTTCAATTAGTATAAAATTCAGGAAAAATATTCAGTTAGGCTTCCGCTTTTCCAAATCCAAATTGCCGGGCCTTACGCTTGACCCCTGCCATCAGATTTTGTACAGCCACCTTGTCCACCTTCTTCGCCGCAGAAAGCCAGTTTGCCTTGAACTGCTGCTCGCCCTTAGCAGTTTTTTTGGTCTTCTTTAGGTTCCGCTTGACAATAGCCCAGTATTTCTCAATTGGGCGGAGCTCTGGCGTGTTGGGAGGGTTCTTGTCCTTGGGAACCACCTGCACGTTGTTGGCGGCGTACCACTCCATGGCCTTTTTACCGTAATGGCAAGATGCCAAATCCGGCTGCTTTTCAAGCCACAGGTACAGATGGGTTGCCAAACCAGATATTTCTTTGCGAACTTTGACAGTTTCATGTGCTTGAAAACATCTGCTACCTTTCCCCTTCCTTTTGCCGTATAAAACTCCTGTCCCGGAAGCTGCTTGTAGTCGGCTTTGACGTAGGTTTCGTCGTCCATTACCACGCAGTCAAACTTCGTCAGCATCGTCGTGTACAGCCTCCGGGATCGCGCTTTGGCCGTCGTATTTTGTTTATCATCGCGATTTGGAGTCACTACCTTCTTGTAAGTCGATAGTCCGGCTCGTTTTTTGGCTCGATGCACGGTTGTAGACGATACACCCAGCTTATTTGCGGCATCTCGGAGAGAGAGGTTAGGGTTTCGCTTGAAACTACCGCCAACTCTCTTTGTCGTCTCAGCGGCTTCCGGTTTTCGATTTCCCCCCGATCCAGACTTCCTGGCTGTCGACAAACGTTCCCCAAACACTTTAATTACATTTGTAACGGTTGATTTGGCAACTTTTAGCGATTTTGCCAACTTTGCGTGCGAGTAGCTCGGATTTTCGCGATGCGCGAGCAAAATTTTGATACGCTGCTCTTCTTGCTTGGACGGCATTTTGACAACTGAAGAGTGAATTCCAAAATCAAAATAGGAGCAACATTCTACACACACACACCTTCAAAATGAGAGGTGTTCAGGTTTTTTAAATGCAAAATTGAAAGAAATACGTCAAGTTGATATTGACCAAATTTTGACCGTATCACCCTGTAGGCCCAATGGACCACGGGATGGTTCACCTGCAGATTCGGAACATCCGTAAAAGTGGTCAATTCATGAAACTGATCCTAGAGCTCCGTGGTTTTTTTTTTCTTCTTCTAAACAAGTCATAGACGCCTTATCAAAATTAATTCTGAATGTTGACCAGAATATGAACCTTGGAGACTACCGAATGGTCCACCGAAAGATCCGGAACATCCGTAAAAATGGTCAATTCAGGAAACTGGTCCTAGAGATCCGCGGATTTTTCGAAACCACTCATAAACGTCTTATCAGAATGAATTCGGAGTTGTGACCGGAATATGGGCCCTGGGGACTACGAGATGGTTCACCTGAAGATCCGGAACATCCGTAAAAGTGGTCAATTCATGAAACTGATCCTAGAGCTCCGTGGTTTTTTTCTTCTTCTTCTAAACAAGTCATAGACGCCTTATCAAAATTAATTCTGAATGTTGACCAGAATATGAACCTTGGAGACTACAGAATGGTCCACCGAAAGATCCGGAACATCCGTAAAAGTGGTCAATTCAGGAAACTGATCCTAGAGATCCGCGGATTTTTCGAAACCACTCATAAACGTCTTATCAGAATGAATTCGGAGTTGTGTTCGGAATATGGACCCTGGGGACTACGGAATGGTCCACTATGATAACCGGAGCATCCTGAAAAGTGGTTAATTCATGAAACTGATCCTAGAGCTCCATGTTTTTTTTTTTTTTCGAAACCACTCATAGACGTCTTAGCACAATTAATTCGGAGTTTTGACTGGAATATGGACTCTGGGGACTACAAGATGGTCCACTAAAATATCCGGAACATCAGGAAAAGTGGTCATTTCATGAAACTGATCTTAGAGCTCCACGGTATTTTAGAAACCACTCATAGACATCTTAGCAGAACTTTCGGAGACGAACCAGCCCAGGGCTGAAAGTCTCCTAACTAAAGATATATAAAAAATCTTATCAGAATGAATTCGGAGTTGAGTTCAGAATATGGACTCTGGAGACTACGGGTTGACCCATCGGAAGATCCGGAACATCCCTAAAAGTGCTCAATTCATGAAATTGATCCTTGAGCTCCACGATTTTTTAGAAAGCACTCATAGACACCTTATCACAATAAAATCGGAGTTTTGACCAGACAATTTATGCTGGGGACCACGGGATGGTCCATTAAAAGATCCGGAAGATCATTTAAAGTGATTAATTCATGAAACTGATCCGGTTGTTTTTTTTTTTTTTCAAAACCACTCATAAATTAATATTAATAATAACTTAATAAGACGATATTTTCAAATGGCTTATTAATTAAATTTTGATGTGATGAATTAAAAATATAAACATTGAAGCTAGTCTTTCGTTAACTTGTAACTCCAAAGAAACATCTCCAAGATGTCAAGGGAAATAAGTCCATGAAATCCAAGGAATAATATACGAAAATTTCGTTAAAAGTGTCTAGAAGTTACTAAATACTTTCCTGTGGTCCCCAGTATAAAATGTCTGGTCAAAACACCGATTTTATTGTGATAAGACGTCTATGAGTGGTTTCTAAAAACCAACGAGCCCTAAGATCAGTTTCATGAAATGACCACTTTAAAGGATGTTACATATCTTCCGGTGGACCATCCCGTAGTCTCCAGAGTCCATATTCTGAACTCAACTCCGAATTCATCTGATAAGGTGTCTATGAGTGGTTTCTAAAAACCCGCGGAGCTCTCGGATCAGTTTCAGGAATTGATCACTTTTACGGACATCCCGGATCTTCCACCGGACCAGACTTGTGTCCTGCCGGAGACTGAATCATCCCAAAAGGTGGCAAACTTTCTGCTTAACATCTTCTCAGAAGACATCAGGAAGTTATCTCTTCAAATTGCCGTACAATCAGTGTTTGGTCCCGATTAGTTCTAATCCCATATGCTACGTGTATTCGTTAATGCCGGTTCCTATAGTGCGGTCCCTATTAACCGTACTATAGGAATCTTGACTGTACACTCAACTTCCAAATGCAGCATTTAAGTTTTTTTTAAATGCATTTTCAACAGAAATACACCCATTTGAAGTTGGCCAATTTTTGCGCGTTCCAGACTTTAAATAAATAAACGGCGATTTTCTACAGATGTTGTTATGTAGGGGTCATATATGACCCCGTGGGATCAAATTGGTTATATTTATCAGAATATTTTCCTCACAAATCTTCTGAAAGTTCCTATTAGCTTTAGATGGCGTCAGTTTCATCCCTTATCAAACACGCAGCATATTTTTTTCTTCAAATTGTTGAACGAAAAAAGATAATCAACCACCAAACACTACAGCACGTGGATGCTTCATCGTCCCCTGATCGTCTTGTTGCAGTCATCTGTGAATCGCATCAATTGTTTCGATAAACAATAACAGAAAAACACGTCCCCGGTTTGAGATAAGACCGTTTTTCTCACCCTCCCACTGCCGGAACACGTGTTTTTGCGAGGAGGGTGAGCAATGGCAAGACAGTTGATAGATGAACGAGGTTAGCTCAGAATTGCCTAGTCAGGACAGAGGGAGAGAATTGCCATGCTTATAGAAGTGATAGATGGGTGGGTTGGAAACTCGTTTAACCAACCCTGGCAAGAAGCCAATCGTCAAAAATGGTTCGACAAGGGGAATACTAAGCATTAGGATCATGCATTTTTGAAACTATCAATTTTTGTCTCATTCAGCGGAAAATTGCCATCCATCGAAAATCGATTACCATCACCTCCGGAGTCCGGAAGGACCGCCTAGCAGCTCGTAAACACAGTTTTCGGATATCCGGATAGCCCAGCACGACAAACGAACGACACCGTCTGGTTCCGTCAGTTTGATTCAGATTCATTTTCGGATCCTTCACATACGGAAGCCCAACACTTTACGCCTGACGCCCATCGTCCCCACTAAGTATTACATCACAGAACACCGGCAGCAGTGCGTGTTATTGTGGCGCAGCGGGAAATTTATTGCCTGGCAGGAGGAGATGTACATGCAAAGAATTTATTAACGACCTAATCATCCGCTCACCAACTGCGAGCCGTGTGCGAACGATCTCGAGTCAATCGGGCAGCTTCCGATGTGTCCCACTATATTGTGAGTCCTTCCTTGGAGTGTAATTTATGATCGACTATCAATTGTTGCAACGAGATGCGTCGTTTCGTCGTCGGTTGAATCTTCCTTGTGATTAGCCTCTTAGCGACGACGGCCGGACGACGACAATATTATATGCAGATTATCCCTGGCATAGAATTTTTGTTGACCCGACCAGCGCACTATGTTGCTTATGCAGCTATTTTGAGAAATTGCTGATGGCAGAGCTATACTTACATTGTGCAGTTTGTAGTACAGGCCACAGGCGTTGCAAACAGGTTCACCGCCTTGGTTCCGTCGCCACAGAGTGGTGGTGGTCGTTTTGCAGTTGGCGCACGAAGTTCCTGCCCGCCGTGCCGCGCTCTGCAGGGACTGCAATGAGAAGAAGTGGGTGGGAAAAGGGAACATTAGTATGTGGACTGTATGATTCGGTGGTGGTCATTTAATATTGAGAGTGTTTCTCGAATTTCATCGCCGTAATACAACAGTAGAGATTTCGGTTGATCGGATCGGATCAAACTTGTGAAGAGAAAACCATTCATTTCATGGAGAAATCGCTCCTCTAATGGGAGTGCTACCGAACACAAAGTTGTTGTCAATAAAATGAGAGATAATCATCTGGATTCACTAATTTTCTGCTGCATTTCATCGAGATTATTTCTGCTAAAGGACCTGAAGGATTCCAGGTATAGTATCGTTGCTACTTATTATTTTATTTATTAGCTTTTGACAAAACTATATTGAAATTTGGCAAATCAAGTTGCAGAGGATGCCTGCACAAAATAAAGCTTGATTCTCTGCAAAATGCTTAATATAGTCACCCTCATCTGACAAACACTCTCTAAGCAACCTTTGTTCCTAACCCACATGATATGAAACCCCTCATCAACCGCCAGAAGAAAAAAAATCACCATCATTCGAGCACGTCAACTCAAACTCACCCCCAGAAACATCCCAATATCGCTGCCTCATCTAACCGGATTCCCCCCCCCCCGGAGTATCTCTTCAGATAAGGTTCACTGTCTGTGTGATAACAATAGCCGCATCCACCACTTCAGCAGCTACTATGTACTTCTCCGGGGGAAGCATTCACGTCGCTTCTAAATGGGACGAATTCCCATCCCCATCAGGCCACTCCGGAAAAAAGGGGGAAAAGATTTCTTCAACGATTATAAATTATTCATACCCTGCTGCAGACATGTTTGGCAAAACAAACAATTTCCACACCCAGCAGCATCTAGATAGCACGGAACTCCCCCCCCCCCCTGCCTTCCAAGCACAAGCTTTTCCCGAGGAAGGAAACTTTGTTTGATTTTACCCCACTTTAAACAACCGATCCAAGACGATCCAAAAGGGATCCCCATTCCGCCACGGACGAACGAGACACAACGCGAGGAAATGTCTCTACTTCAGCTAAGTTCTTCCATCCAGCGAGAAATTCAGTAGGTACACAAACACACACATGCACAGCCTCCGGAGTTACGCTGGCTGTTTTACTATGTACCACCACTTGCCTTTTTGAAAGGGAACCCCTATGTATTCTCCCGCACCAGTTGGGGAGATGGAACGCCGGCGCGCATGTCTCTGTGTCTACATAGTTATCCGGAAAGGAAGACGGTGTAGGAGGGCAAGGAATCATATAATCGTAAAGATTTACTTGATTGGAGAGCACAATATCTGGCTGTCTTCGTTGCTCTGTGGGGAGATTCGCCCGTAGAGATTGGATGCCTTATCGCAGATGAAGATGCTTACCTTCTACTTTTTGCTGGGGAGAGAAGGAACTACTTCTCTGTTACTGGTACAATTCCGGGTGGAGGATGGGGTTTTGTATGTATGTATGGAGAATTATGGGTACGTTCTGATCTTGAATGAGAGAGTCTTTGAATCGTTTGGTAAAGGGATGGTTGATAAATGGTAAATGTTGTGTTGAGACAAGGGTACATTTTCGTTGGTGTAAAAATGAAGTCAAGCCACTACTCGGTATGTACAGTTTAGGTTTTAAGAAATATCTGTTGACGATGAACCTTTAAAAACAACTCTGTGTGACTTATTTAGAATAAACAAAGCTATCCTATAACATGGATTGTTCAATTTAATTTCAACCACAGCCATTTGTTTGTGACTCTAAGCTTTCTGTCTAGGGCTGAATCATCCCCACGCCACGGTTCCTGTTGAAAAGAAAGTTTTTCCTTTAAAAATGCATCATAGCTGGGTCATTCCAGCTCAAGTGGGTACACCACCTGTGGGCGATGTCACCTATTTGAGTCAAACTTGGCCAAAACACTTATTTTGGTATACTGAACAAACGGCTTTTTTGGTTCAAAGTGTTTTATGTTACTTCATACGCGAAGTTAGCAATTTTCAGAGTTGGTTGGAAATGCTAACATGAAGCTTTAGTGTGATAATTTATTAGCTAGAGAATGATCTTTAGAAGAGGGTAGGTGGATAGTTCCGTTAGAGTACGGCAGTATGTAAATTGAATAGAAGTTGAAAATGAGCGAAGGGCCATTAATGCGACAGTTTTTGAAGTCAGACGCACATTTTTGCCTAACCCGTACGATGTACGCGGAGACTTGAAGTGTCTTCAAGTCTACAGATGACCACGTTGGTCATGACGAAAGGAGCAACACAATAGTTGGGTAAAGAAGAATTGCATTATAACACACCATCGACTGGAAATGCTCTCGCAAACGTGGGGCTTTAGGTAGTGATGAAAACGTCGCTAGAACTATTCCACAGCCGCAGTCAGTTATGAGCAGAAGGAGGACGCACATCTTTTGCCTGTAGACTTGAAGACATACTTCAAGTCTCCGCGTACATCGTACGGGTTAGGCAAAATATGTGCGTCTGACTTCAAACAACTGTCGCATTAATGGCCCTTCGCTCATTTTCAACTTCTATTCAATTTTCATACTGTTGTACTTTAACGGAACTATCCACCTCTTCTAAAGATCATTCTCTAGCTAATAAATTATCACACTTAAGCTTCATGTTAGCATTTCCAACCGGCTTTTTTGATTTTGCTCTAAGGTGCTTAGATCCTTCTGGGCTACAACCCTGGATTTTCGAGATTTTTAAAAATTTAAAATTTCAGAAGAGGTTACTCTACAACTAAATAAGCTATTCGTGATCTTAGAATGTCAATTTGGAGGTTTTTTAATGTAGATTCTTGTTTTTGTTGTAGTAACTACATTTAACAGGCTGATTACTGGCAGGTATCTAAATTGTAAAAATTGTCTATTTTCACCATGGGCGGGATATTTTATTTCTTAATATTTTTGGCTCAAATTTTCACCACACTTTGGAAAACTTTTGTACTTGATGTGTTTTCAAGGGAAAATTATTTGGACAAACATTTTTTGAGATATGACCAGATGAGTAAGTGGTAGTTTTGAGCTTTTCTGGTGGAAAAACAATAAGTACTATTTAATTTTTTTTTCTTGAATTCCTTCACGCCTATGGCACAATAATATTTTTATGTTATTTTTCACATGTTTTGGGCATTTGTCATTATATGAAATCATAACTAGGTCATTTATTTACTTTTGTTCATAATGTAATTGTGGTCCTTAAAGTGAAAAATACATTCCTATGGGATACACCCAAACAATTACGAATTGTAAATGTGCTTATTAGTTGGCCATTTTCAACAAACCCGTTGATATTACGTACACGCAAAATTCAGCATATTTGTAGTTCTACATTTAAAGGCCACCACTGTATCTGAAATACTCGAAAGTTCTCTCTGTCTCTTGGAGTTACCTCCTGCTTTAAAACATGATTATTTCTTTACCAGATAAATGCTACTCGGATGCTTTTTCGACCTTTTCACCATTTGACCTTTTGGAAATTTCGACCTTTTATCAATTTCGGCCGTTTTTTTATTCAACCATTAACCATTTTTTTTCCTTTCGACCATTTGTCAAATCGACCATTTGTCCGTTTCAATATTTTGACCATTTTTCATTTCGACTTTTTGTCCATTCGATCATTTGTCTCTTCGACCATTTGTCCTTTTCAACCTTTTGTTCATTGTCTATTGTCCATTTGACTATTTGTCCATTCGATCTTTTATCCCATTGAACTTCTTTCGACCTTTTGTCCATTCAACCTGTGTCCCTTCGACCTACTGTCCGTTCAATCTTTCGTGCATTAGACCTTTTGCTCATTTCGACATGGATTCTCCAAGATAGTTGTAGGCTTCTCCAAAAAATCATTTGTAGGATTCTTCAAATAATCTTTGGCAGGATTCTCCAAGAATCCTTGGTAGGATTCTCCAAGAATCCTTGGTAGGATTCTCCAAGAATCCTTGGTAGGATTCTCCAAGAATCCTTGGTAGGATTCTCCAAGAATCCTTGGTAGGATTCTCGAAGAATCCTTGGTAGGATTCTCGAAGAATCCTTGGTAGGATACTCCAAGAATTCTTGGTGGGATTCTCCAAGAATCCTTGGTAGGATTCTCCAAGAATCCTTGGTAGGATTCTCCAAGAATCCTTGGTAGGATTCTCCAAGAATCCTTGGTAGGATTCTCCAAGAATCCTTGGTAGGATTCTCCATGAATCCTTGGTAGGATTCTCCAAGAATCCTTGGTAGGATTCTCCAAGAATCCTTGGTAGGATTCTTCAAAGAATTCTTGATAGGATTATCTAAAGAATCTTTGGTAGGACTCCAAAGAATCCTTGGTAGGATTCTCCAATGAATCTTTAGTAGGAGTCTCCAATGAATCCTTGGTTATTCAAAGAATTATTGGTTCTTCAAAGAATCCTTAGTAGGATTCTCAAAAGAATCCTTTGTAGGGTTTTCCAAATAATCCTTGGAAGGATTCTCCAAAGAACCCTTGGTAGGATTCCCCAAAGAATCTTTGGTAGGATTCTTCAAAGAATCCTTGGCTGGATTCTCCAGAAAATCCCCAGTAGGAATTTCTATAGAATTTTTGGTAGGATTCTCCAAAGAATCCTTCGTAGAATTCTACAAGAATCCTTGGTAGGATTCTCCAAAGGATCCTTGATAGAATCCTCCATAAAATGGTAGGATTTTCCATAGAATTCTCAGTAGCATTTTCCATAGAATTCTTGGTAGAATTCTCCAAAGAATCCTTCGTAGGATTCTACAAGAATCCTTTGTAGGATTCTCAAAAAATCTTTGATAGAATTCTCCATATAATCGATGGTAAGATTCTCCCAGAAAGCCTTGGTAGGATTGTCCAAACAATCCTTGGTCAGATTCTCCAAAAATCCTTGGTAGGATTCTCCATAGATTTTCCAAATAATCCTTGGTAGGATTCTCCAAAGAGCCCTTGGTTGGATTCTCCAAAGAATCCTTGGTAGGATTCTTCAAAGAATCATTGGCTGAATTCTCCAGAAAATCCCTAGT